GGCAACATGCGAGGAAGTTGCAATAGTCTCCAGGAATTTGGAACTGGGATTTTTGGCACCTTTCCTTCATTGGAGATTCTCTGAGAAGGTGGGGTTTGGAGAGAGACAGGAATGGGGCTTTCCAGATCATGCAGGGGCAGGCTGCAGGTTCCAACCTAACAAGAAATTCCTACTTAATAACAGCAAGCAAAGCCAAGAAATACTCTTGAAATCACTGACTGTTGAGATAATCCCTTGGATTTGCCCCTAACTGGGCATGGTTGACACCACCTCTCCCAGAAGAGGCCTCCTCTGCCTGACTCAGGGAACTCAAGAATCAAAGAAAACCAAAAGTCTTTTTAGCTGTTACCAGCAGAGGGCGCTCAATCTTTTTTACATCAAAGATTTTTTTTCCTAATACTACAAACACTTGATCATGTTATAAGACTGAACAAGTCAATTTATTTATTGAAAATTTACTAACTATCCCTTCAATATCTTTTATAGCAAATGAAAACTACCTTTGATAGTTGGATTGGCTCAGAAGCCAATTCAAGGTGCATGTATACTGACTGCTCTAGTCAACTTGTTCAATTAAAAAATTTTTTATGGGTTTGTGTGTTTTGCCTGCATGTGTGTCTGGTGCTCACTTGGACCAGAAGAGGGAATTAGATCCCTGGCTGGCGCAAGAGGATCTTTAATTCAGGTAAGCCTGGACCACATAGTAAAACCTTGTTTCAGAAACTCAGCCGTTTTCAAGGCTGGCGCTCAGAGTCACCTGCATGCTAGGCAAACACTTTATCACTGATCCTCATCCCTAGCCTTTTACGTTCATTTACGTACTTATTGGATCTCATTGTATTGCCTAGGTTTGTTTCCGAATCCTCAGCTGAAGCTATTCTCCCGCCTTTACCCTTTCAAGTACTGACATAAGGGTGTGGCAGGCCTGAGCCAGTGGTTGTCTAGGGCATTGCCAGGTGCCCTCCTTGGCAGGAACAGCAACAACAACAAAATGGACATCCGGGAAATACAGCCAATCAAGCCACAGAGAAATAAAAAGCAGGAACTTTATACTTTCAGGAAGGGGAAAGCCTAAGCCTCGATGTCTTGTAAATGGACACTGGCTTCAGTGTTTTATAGGGCTCCTGGGTCCTACCCCTCTCTCTGTAGTTCATGCCTAGACACCTAGCCCTGTGCATTCTTGCCAGTTTTTTCTCATAGAACCTCCTATGAGAAGCAGCCATCTCAGAGAGCAGCAGTCTCCTGCTTTACCTGTTTCTCCAACTCTGCTTCGCTGAGACTACAGCAGCAGGTTACTGAACATTTGAATTGCTTTCAGGTGTGTGTGTGTGTGTGTGTGTGTGTGTGTGTGTGTGTACTGGAGTGTGCCTTTATTTTGAGTTCTTTGGGAGTGCAAAAGATGCTTTCCATTCATTTCAAACATTCTCCAGGAACTTGCAAATATGATGTTCAGCAGTGTACAAAGGTTGGCTGATTAATTCTAAGACATGCGATTTTTACATTAGTATATAGCTTAATTGCCAGAAATGTATATAAAACTCAGTTTGCATATGTATGTGTATGCTATCTATATGTGTATATGTGTTCACATGTGTGGGTACACATGAATGTGCAAGTACAAGTTTACATATGTGTATAAGGCCAGAGCCTGATGTTAGGTGTCTCTCTTGATCACTCTCCACCTCACGTATGTGGGCAGGGTCTCCATGTGCTACTCTGGTTAACGAGTTCGCATATACAGGCAGGGTCTCCATATGCTATTCTCCTAAGCCAGCTTGCTCCATGGATACTGTTTCCAGCTCTCAAATGCTGGCATTCCAGATGGGTTTCCATGCTGGTGTATGGCCTGTTCCCCTGAATCGCAACAATTTTTCCAAGTTGAAGCGTTTCCTCAAGAGGGAAGGGGAGGTTACAAAAGGTCACATGGGCAGAAAAGAAAAACTTGGAAGAGTGCTTGCTTCCTCAGCTGTGGCTGGGGCAGCAAGGTGGCTCAGTGGGTCAAGGCACTTGCCACTAAGCCTGAGGACCTGAGCTACATCCCTGGGCCCTACATGGGAGAAGGAGAGAGGCAGCTTCTGTAAGTTGTTCTCCGACTGCTACACATGCGCTCCCATCCACAACACACTAAAATTATGATTATATGCCAGGAGTTGGGAGCCCAGACCCGTATCTCACCCAGAAGCTTTGCAAAGTAATTAAGATTTGTAAACAAATGATAGAAAAGGAAAAAAAATGGCTGTGAAATAAGGAAGCTCAAACCCATCAGGATGGAGGACAGGAGGGATTATTACAACCATAAAAGAGGAAACTAAAGAGGAATTCTGTCCAGAGTTTTCTACAGTAGCCTACAGAGAAGACCACTGAGCTTTTGAAAATGAAATATAAAGCCACTTTTGTTGCAGCCCTGAAAGAATTGGAGAGGGGTGTTGAGAAATGATGTTTATGTGCAGATATAAAGCAAAAGTAGGCCACACAGCAGCGAGGCTCAAAAACTACCTTTCATGGAAGGAACAGAAGACACCATGCAAAGGCTACAGCCAGTGGCTTGAAGCAAAGAAAAAGAAAAACTAGCTTAAGACAGTTTCATGAAAGGATTTGTATCTTGCACTCTCAAGGGCTCACAAAATTAGACTATTTAACATAGCAAGTTACTCAGTTTGGAAGACATGGGAGGCAAAACATCTACACAGTCTTGAAATTTACATTGAATATACAAAACCTGGAGATTACCTTTAGAGATGGCTCTTGTTCCGCCGAATTAATGGTTTTGGTCAGTATAAAATCACAAATCGAGGACTATGATGGCGTTGCTGTGGCTGCCTTTGACATGAAAGTCATGGGAGACATTTTCAGAAGCAATTGCCTGAGCCGTGAGCTTCTCCTCTTCTTGGGAATGACACTTCCGTGATTTGGAATTTGCTATTCACAGGTTTTGCTAAGTGTTCTCTCACATATGAAAATCAGAAGTTTGACTGGGCAGTGGTGGCAGATGCCTTTAATCCCAGCACTCAGTAGGTAGATGCAGGTGGGTTTCTGTGTGTCAGAGACCAGCCTGGTCTACAAAGCAAATTGCAGGACAGCCAGAGCTGTTACAAAGAGAGGCCCCAAACCAAAACCAAACACAAAACCAGAAGTTCGATTGTGATCATTCTGGACTTTTGTGAGGTTGAGACAAGTCTGTTTTAACTATTTGAATTTTATTCTCTTTTGACATAAAGTTGTGAACACTCAGAAAACCTATATCATGTTAATATTCCTACAAGAAAATACAGGTAAATCAATATGTGTCACGCAATACCCATTATCTTACTGCAAGCATTAGTGGTTTTAAAAAAGTTTTTGATTCATAACTTGTAGTTATTAAATGTGCATGACTCAGGCTCTAAGAAACTGTAACTTAAGACAGTCTCTTACAATGAAAACCCATGCACTCAGTTTACAGCTGGCTTCAGAGAAGCAGACAGACTGCGCCAGAGGCCAAGGATAAATAATATTTCAAATGTGTTAGTTATATGACCTAAGTAAAGCTGTAAGCTGTTAATACAGTCATCAATTTTTTTCACAAAGTCATCAGATATATTGCTAATTGTGAGGTTGTGTTTTCCACTGTGGGCAAAGTCACTAAAGTTCTTCACTTTCGTAGAGTCCAGACTGAGCAGCCAGGCGCTGAAACTCTCCTTCTGGGTTAAAGGCTTGTTTCACATCCAAACCTTTCCCGTTAAGCGCTAAATATTTGCTGAAGGTCGGGCGAACACGCAGCTGCTTGGGAGCTGGAAGCGTTTGGTTTGGACGGGCTGAAATCAATAATAAAAATCAATTTAGCAGAGTAGTTTAAAACACATAGTTGAGCTTAGTAGGCACTGGCAAATACGATGGGAAAATGATTTTGAGGAAAATACCCTATACTTCACAGCATGCTGAGATGGGTGTGCCTCAGCTTCCCAGTTAACTGAGCTGCTCCGTGACTTACCTGTGACATCCAGTCTTGCGTTACATGTGGTAACCCCAGCTTCATTGACGGCTGACACCGTGTACCACCCTGCATCCTTCTTGTTTACATCTTTTATCAGTAAAGTCACCCTTCCAGAGTTATCATGATATAAGCTGGAAAGAAACAAAAGAAAACTAAGGAACGGGAATTATTTTTTTTCTTTGAGGTGAAAGTTTAAGTGATATTGCTGCCATATAGACTTTCATTAATAAGAAAAAGCTGTTGAAAACCCCAAGACTGTCTCTCATCAATGCCAAGTAGTTACTGGAGTTTAAAAACTTACCCCACCTGTGCATGGAGGTATCACTTTATAGTAGAGTATAAGACCCTAGGCTGGATCTCTAGGAAACTCATACACACAGACTCTCCTCCCAAACAATTCCCATTTATTTCCTGTAGCCATGGTTTTTTATTGTCAACAAAAACATGAACTGTAGGCTCTTTTATGCCTTATTTTTAGGACTACTTGAATCTGACTTATATCTGTATTTTTAAGAACAGACAACCCAAAGCCATAATTGTGTAATTTATAACGTGTGTAATAAGTATAACTAGATTCATCCAATCAGGGTACATGTCAGTCAGGAAAGTCTTGTCTCACCTTATCCGATCAGTGTTGAACTGGACCATTTCATTGTTCCTTTTCCAGAAAAGCTTGGGTGGAGGGATGGCTGAGATCTGGCATTCTAGTTTCACTGACTCTCCCTCAAAAACTTTCTTACTCTGTGGTTTGTAGACAAACATTGGTGCTCTTTTATGCTCTTTTGCTAGATAGTGGTGGTAAATCAATAAAGATGATATTAAGCCACATTAAAATGTTATGAAATTTTTAAATCTTTAAAAAGCAACATCAGGATTGAAAACCTTTTTATTTTTAGATAAAATACTGCAGCACAGATTATTATTTTACTATATTCAGAGTTCTTAAAGTGGAATATAATGATCTAGTGAAGTTTTTCTCGTTCCATCTACAGGGAGGCAGCATGCATGGTGGAAGAGAAGTAGACAACTATGGTTCAGATTCCTGCCGGGGGTGCAACTGAGCAGGACAGTGTTTGTCCTGCCTGTGAATGGCTGTGACCTTGATCCTCAGTCCTTTGAAATGAAATCTCTATTGGTTCCATGAGCCATGTAAAAATTGGAAAACTTTTTTGTAGTTTCCCAGAGCCTCAGTTTTCTGTATCCCTAACTACAGCCTTAAAAACAAAAACAAAGCAACCAACCAAACAAACAAACAAACCAAAACCAAAACCAAACCAACTCCAGGTTGTAGTGATAGATCTCTATGATATGAAAGAAAAGATGCTTTGTAAGCCAATAATATGCAGGTGTCAGTCGTCACAACGACCTACAAGAAGAAGGTATGGGAAGCGGTGAGCCGACACTGAAGGTGGATTTTCTAAAGGAGAAATGAAGAGACTGAATGCATTGCAGCCCAGGTCTCTCTCAGCTGGAACAGGACATTGTTTACGAAGCTGCTGGCACAAATGCGATTTATCCGGATAGTGGGAAGTGTGTGTTTTGGGTGAGCATGCACCTATGTGTTTATTCCTTGTCACCCCCTCTTTGCTTTGGTTGGGGTCCCTTAGTCCTAAGGTCTTTCACTGATCTAGGTACAAGTTCAAGAACGCTGTCCGTACTTTAACCTGGTCAGGCTTTTATATAACAGATAATGATTCATTAAATATTTCTTGTGAGGTAATTCCATAGTTTAAAGCATTACATCGGATACATTTAAGGTACTTAATGGTAAAATTAAAAAAAAAGCACACATGAGTTTTTATAGAGCTGTGCTGCTATACCGTGAGGTGAGAGTTTTATCAGAAGCTGTTTTTTTCCCCAAAGAAATGGGCATTTTTTTGTTTATAATTGGACGCTACTTTCCTAGTAAATATAACATAGTACATAGCTAAAAGCTAACACCCAATGTCCATTTTTTTTCAGGTAAGGATTTATATTATGATAGCCTATGACAATTTTATATCAGCATGAGTCCAGATGGCTACATTTTAGACTATAGAGCATATAAATTATTAGACTAAAGTTTCTATTTTGACATCCTGTTCTAGTTATATCAACAAATGCTTATACTATCTCATTTGCTCCATCTAAAATTATATAACATTCTCTCTACCAATTCTTGCTCAGCCATGCTAATTGTTGCTCTGTTCACAAAAGGTAGGGACACAGAAACAAATTAAATGCCATTCAGTTGACCAATGGATAACGAGGATGTATATATACAATGAAATAGTATTCAGCTAGAAGGGAAAATAAAATAATGACATTTGTAGGTAAATGGATGGGATTAAATATATATATTGTGTGGGATATCCTAGATCCCAAAAGAAAAAAAACTTACTATTTTCTCTTTTATATGTGATTCCTAGATCCAAATCTTAAGATGTGAGTATATAACTTGGAGTAACTGTAGAAGCCAGGAAAGTAAATAAGGACCACAGGGTGGGGGTGTCACTAGAGAGGAGAAATAGCAGTATTCAATCGATGGAAAGTCTCCTTACAAGGACTAGCTTTCAAAATTCCCAAGGGAGCTACACACACTGGCAAAAATGTGAAGCAATCAATAGCTCTGAAGAACAATGACCAGCATTGCAAGAATATATCCAAGGCTGCATTGTGGCTGTCATGTGTTGGCAGTAACCACCAGCTCTCTAATTGGACTTAAGACTGACTCAACAGGAGGGAAACCATGGAAACCTAGCCTACGAGTAGTGAGTTCATGGATCTTAGAAGAGAACTTACTATTGTCACTCTACTTGATCAGTAGAGCTAAATCCTCACTGCATTCCAAATAATTATCTTTATATTCACAGGTAAGTGTATCTCCCACCTCTCATCAAAGAAGCCTCTCTTTCCAGTAGGTGGAGACCACAGTAAAAACCCAAATCTGGTCAAAGTATGGAGAACAACTGGCTGTGAGGTACCCAGCCTCAGTGGATATGTCTACAACACAACGCTTGCACCCAAAGTTCACGGAACATTGCAGAAAAGGAGGCAGAAAGACTGTAAGAGCCATAGGAACAGGAAGTCTGCTGTGAGATTGTATCTCACAGCAAAACTAGAAATAACAGGGAACCTTCACCTTAACTAATCGTTGCCTGAACAAGACAAAAAGCTAAGGCTTTTTTATAAAGAGAAAGCAGGTTGAGCAAGCTCCGGGAAGCAAGCCAGTAAGCAGCTTTGTCCATGGCTTCTGCTTCAGGTCCTCCCTTCAGGTCCCTGACTTTAGAAAAGGAACTGGTGGTAGGCCTGTCATTCTAATCTTCCTAAAATGTTTCCTCCTAAAACACCCTTTTGTTGTTTTGAGTATAAATTGGTGTTACACTAGATTCTGCAGATGTTAACCTTAAGTGTGAAGTGCTCTGGGCTTCTCTTTGAAATTATTTTCTTTTATAATACTCCTGCTTTTTCAGCCATGTAGCCTTGGAAGGATCTCTTTGGAGGCTTACCAAGGACGTCCAGCTGCACCGTGAAAGTGGCTTCCCCAGCTCTGTTCCTGGCCACACATGCATATGGCCCTGCGTCTGATGTTCTGACCACTTCGAAGATGAGTGAGTGAAAACCCTTCTCAGACACTATCATTTTGTGCAACTCGTCTGACTGAACTGGTCTCCCGTTTAGATACCATGACACATCAGGGGCCGGCAGTCCACTCACCTAGAAACAAAATATAGCAGTTTTCTATTTATGATTTTAACAATGTTGCCACCTGGATTTGAGATTGAAAACAGAAAGCAGAAATTCAAAATATATTTATTGTAATTTTTTTACTGTGAAATTAAAAACTTGAGATCAATATATTGTTTTTAGACTACTTCAGACTACACCCAATTCTTTCATATATTACCTCAAATTCTTTTTTTGGTTGCTTTATCTAGAACACTAATTCATGTTTCATGTCCCACAAGGAATATGGAAGCTACAGTTTTGTACATAAGCAGTAGTTGTTTATATGTTTTTGTATAAAGACATTTAATCCTAATAGTAACTCTCATTGATAGGGTATCTGGAAAAATATTTTACAAGAAAAAGTCCTTAGAACGAGGATAATCAAAATGTGATGTGGTTTCTTCTAAAGTGCTGTTCTAGCTTGAAAAACTAGGAAAGAAGAAAGCTGAGTAGTTAGAAGTGGTGAATAGAAAACTACAGGTGCAAGTACTTGAGACAGCCTGTTGTCAGTGCGTGCGTGTGTGTGTGTGTGTGTGTGTGTGTGTGTGTGTGTGTGTGTGCGCGCGTGCCTGCATGTGTCTATATCCAATATATCTGTTTATATCCAGTACATCTGTTTATTTTGCTAATCTTATGCAGTAAGTACTATTTGTGATTCCCATTTCACAGATGAGACAACAAAACACAGAGGGGTTAAATGACTTGTCTACATTTACCCAGCTGGAAAGTGGCACAACCAGGGTATAACTTGTGTCAAGTCAGCTTCAGAACCTGTGTCCCTTTCCATTGTACATAGCGTTTTTTAAGCTGTGTGGCAAGCTGTAAAAGTTTGGGAAGGGGGCAATTCCCCAGCCTTGGTGCCACGTTGTTAATGTGTCCTTAGCATATTTAAAAACACTTACTTTGAAGTCCATTCTGCAGAATCGTCCTTCTTCAATGGACATGTTTTCTGGCACTTGGATGAAGCGTGGTGGGTAAAACTTCTCCTGGATGGCATCCTGGTCATTTGCCTCTGCTCTTGAGGACGATCTACTTCTATAACAATATTTTAATAATGACTGTGCAGAAATGTCCTTGCTTTTCCATTCACACAATACAATTTGGCCATCATGCTAGAAAGACCAGAAAGTCTGCTTTGGTCTGATGGCATAGTGACAATGGAGACAGACCTTAAGGTTGATGTATCCAGTGGCTTATTTGATGACTGGCAGAAATATAACAATTTAGAAACATCTGTTGCAAATTGAACATTGAATTACTCTCCCCTTCTTAAAGTGATCAAAGAGTACCTCATAGTTAGCACTGGATTTTACTTGTTGTGACAAAGTTATTTAACATGGAAGCATGGCCCTGACTGTTTGACTACAATGTTTAAAAAATACCCTTTGAGGTAGTTCTGATGATTGACATACAATATTTCAGCATCATCTTTTACATTAAAATAGTCACACTTATTTTTGAAAGGATATAGTAAACTGGAGGGTTTTATGTGTGTGTGTGTATATATATATACATTATATATACAATATATACAATATATATATTGAGTGGAAACCACTTTAGATAGCCAAATACATGTCTATTTACAAATTAGACAAAATTACCTTACTTGTGAAGTGGGAACCTGCAGCCGTGCCTGTTCTGGATTATGCTGCTTGAGACGAAATCAAAAATGAGAAAGTTAACATGCAATTGGTCCTTTCAAATGAAGCAGAAATAAGCAATTGTAGTTGAGAGGAATGTTTCTGTTTTGGCTGTTACTGCGGTCATGATTGACTTTGTGTGTCTGCCAATTAAAATAGAGCAAATAACTGCCTACTTTCCTTAGCATCCCCTTAATTCTTCAGGGTTCTTACTTTCACAAGTATGACTTATAAAAATCTGCTGGACCCAAAATTGATGGTAGCTTACTTTTCAACTGACTGTTTTATGATAAAGGGTGACATGTCCCTTTGACATGTTTGACTTGGGGACACCGTACAGGTTGTACTTTAACAAAGCAAAAATAGACATGAGGTCACTTGTGCTGGCGCGAGGCAGTGGGTGTCAAGCTACGGCCAAGCAGTTCCGTGAACAACAGTGAACACACATTAGACTGGAAAATACTTCTCCTTTTAGCTCATGGCACAAAATCTTGTTGGACACCATTTGAAATATGGATAAAATTATAAAAAATGTAAAACTTGAATTAGTTCCTGCTAAATAGAGGACCATTTGCCTTTTATGATTTATACTGAGTGCCAGAAAATTATTTCTACTTGAGGATAAAGTTAGGAATTGATGAATATTATAATTGAATTAATTGACTATATATTTAGTGCCTGTTTGGTATAAATGTTCTTGGCACAGTGGAAAATTGAAAAGAAGTAGAAAATATAGTCTCAGCTCAAATATCTCTGAGATATTTGTACAAGAACATAGGGAATCTGAATACAAAGATTTATTTTGGGATTAATCTTTTAGCCAATGCATTTTTACATTTTAAAACAATGTAAAAAATGGCTAGTCTTAATAATCTTTAAATAAAATGTCAAAACAACTTATCAATTTAGCAAACAGCCTAGTTTTTAGCAAAAATAAAAAGAAAAATTAAACCTAATAATTTAATAAAACTCAGAATCTTCAAAATAATTTGTTTCTAAGATACGGTTTCTTTGTGTAGCCCTGGCTGTCCTGGAACTCACTCTGTAGACCAGACTGGCCTTGATTGACCTGCCTCTGACTGGGATTAAAAGCAGTGTACCACCACTGCCTAGCTAAAAATAAGTTTTTTTTTTAATTTTTGGTTTTAATGTATTATGTTCAGAAATAGAGTATCTCAATTATATCATAAATGTATTTATGTTTATAACTACATTGTAATTGGCAACATTTCTTATTACTTAGGATTAATGTTTGAGTGTATAAAACAGTAAGATTTACTTTCTGCCTTCATTATGTTCCTGCCACTATCTTCTTGTCCTGGTGCTGTCACCTTCCTTTTAAACACTGCCATAAATACTAACTAACTTTGTGAGTAATTCTACTAGTAGAGACGGAGTTGTCTTATTCTGCCTGTGACTGCCTATGCCATAATCAGAGTTCAACGCAGTTGATGTTCCATGTAAATTGGTTGAGTGGATGGATGGATGAATGAATGAATTGCTCAGTGTCTAAGATCTATCCCATTAGACACTGATCTATCCTTTCTAGTTGGTCTAGTCACCTTTAAAGGAAACAAAAATCTCTTGTTCTCATTTCAAGTTCATTTTCTCAGTGAGTTCCCACCTCCGTCTCTGTTGCTCATAGCCTTGTAGACTATTTAAGAGGGAGTAACAGCTTACAGAGGGACACAAAAAGGGTAGCAGCTCTTCAGTTCACCTTTCCCACTGTACACTTGTCTTTTGGTTAAGTTACCCGTTATAATTAAGTTGGTCGGGTGCAAGTCTGTGTGTTCACTGTATCCTGAAGTCCATCCCTTTTTGGGAAAATGAGCTTTCATTAATCTTATAGTTGTTACCCCATAGAGTCATTTTATTAGTTTGTTCATGAAAAGGCATATTTAAACTCGGGAGCATGATCAAAGGAAGTAGGTAAGTCACAAACAAGGCTTAAAACATCAAACAACTTAAAATTGCAAAAACAAAACAAAACAAAGAACAACAACAACAACAAAAAAACCTGTCCAAATCTGGCCACAGTTGTGTGCCCCTGTCGTCCCAGGTACTCAGCGAGCTGAGGAAGGAGGATCAGCAGCCAGGTTTGGGCTGAAGATCCTGTGTTAAGAAGAAAAACAAAGGCATGGGTACATAGCAGTCCTTTTTATTTACCTGTGGAGAATCTTGGGCATCACTGTTTTGAGCCTGAAAGACGGCAGCGGCATTCTGTGGACCTAGCAACCTTCGAGCCATCTTCTCCTCATAGGTCAGCCTCTAGAGGGCGGTGATGGGATTCAGTCAGAGGTATGCATTTTAAAACAATATAAAAAATTGGCTAGTCTTAAGAATCCTTAAATAAAATGTCAAAACAACTTATCAATTCAGCAAACAGCCTATTTGTTAGCAAAAATAAAAACCAAAATTAAACCTAATAATTTAATAAGACTCAAAATCTTCAAAATAAATTGTTTCTAAGATAGGGTTTCTTTGTGTAGCCCTGGCTGGAACTCCTCGAAAACCATTACTCTAGGTCAGGACTTCGAGCTGTGCTCCTATGTTTTGAATTATAGTTTCTGTTTTCCAAAGATCCTTGTCTTCAAAGATGAGCTACTAATTCAGTTGTATATTAAGATCTATATAGTAATTACAGCTGTTTTTATTTGTTCACGGACACACTAAGGTGTAAAACAGTTGAGTTGGTAAAATTTCCCATTAGTTACTTTGTAGGCAGACATTTTGTGAGAAGGTAATGGTTAGTTTTATTTTTTTGAGAGAAGATTTCATGGAGCACAGGCTGGTTTTGAACTTACGATCTACGAAAAGCTGACTTTCAACTCATGATCCTCCTGCCTCTACTCTTCCAACCCCAGGGGCAGGGAGAATAAAAATGTGCCAATATAGTTTTTGAGAAAAAATGTGTAAGATAAAAAACTTCATTGTATTATTTAGTTTTTAAAAAATTTTTAAGCTGCTTCATCAATTTACTATGGAAACCCAAAAGGTGGACTTCATGTTAGAGTAATACCAAACTGCAAGCAAATATTCCTTTTTAAAAAAGTGAATCCTATTTCTTGCAACCTCTGTGGGCATAGATCTATGAGAGACAGAGGTAGTGTGTGTGTGTGTGTGTGTGTGTGTGTGTGTGTGTGTGTGTAGTGGTATTGGGTATCAATCTTAGGTACGTATCCTACAAGTGAGCTATATTCTCAGTCTCAGAACTTTCTTATTGGAATTAGATCTTTAAT